TCGCACAAGGAGTGCCCAACAGAATCTAGAAGCTATGCTTGCTTGTTTCATCTCACAAGTGGAACCAAAGAATATTGAAGAAGCTCTAGCTGATTCTGATTGGATCAATGCAATGCAAGAAGAACTCAACCAATTTTCCAGAAATGACGTCTGGAAACTTGTTCCCAGACCTACTCATCAACATGTCATTGGGACAAAGTGGGTCTTCCGGAACAAGATGGATGAAAACGGCGTTGTTGTTAGAAACAAAGCCCGGTTGGTTGCCAAAGGTTATTGTCAAGAAGAAGGTATAGATTTTGATGAAACCTTTGCTCCAGTTGCTAGACTTGAAGCTATAAGGCTGTTTCTAGCCTTTGCTGCTCATAAGGACTTCAAAGTCTATCAAATGGATGTCAAAAGCGCATTTCTCAACGGAAACCTAGAGGAAGAAGTTTATGTAGAACAACGTCCAGGATTTGAGTTACACACTAAAGGCGATCAAGTGTACAGACTCAAGAAGGCACTATATGGACTCAAACAAGCACCTAGAGCTTGGTATGATACATTGTCTCAATTCCTTATAGACAATGGATTCATCAAAGGAGTCATTGACAAGACCTTGTTCAAACTTCAAGATGGAGAAGATCTCTTATTGGTCCAAATCTATGTGGACGACATCATATTTGGATCAACTAAGGAAGCTCTTTGCACCAAGTTCTCAACCCTCATGCAAGGAAAATTTGAGATGAGCATGATGGGGGAACTCAACTACTTCCCTGGTCTTCAAATCAAACAGAGAAGTGAAGGGACTCTCATCAACCAAGCCAAGTACACAAGGGATCTTATCAAGAAATTCAAAATTGATCAGAAGTCATCCATTTCTGTCCCCATGAGTACATCCACCAAGCTTGATATGGATGTAGATGGAAAGGATGTTGATCAAACTCTCTACAGAGGAATTGTTGGATCTCTACTCTACCTTACTGCAAGCCGTCCGGATATCTCATATGCAGTAGGTGTTTGTGCCAGATTCCAGTCAAAGCCAAAGGAAAGTCATCTAATAGCAGCTAAAAGGATTCTTAGATACCTCAAAGGAACTCAGAACATGGGTTTGTGGTATGCTAAGAGCAATACATTTGAGTTAGTGGGATACTCAGATTCTGACTTTGCCAGATGCAAAGTTGACCGGAAAAGTACATCTGGTACTTGTCAATTCATTGGTGGAAATCTTGTTTCTTGGTTCAGTAAGAAACAAAACTCCATCTCTACTTCAACAGCAGAAGCAGAGTACATTGCTGTTGGTAGTTGTTGTGCTCAGATTTTGTGGCTAAAGCAACAACTACTGGACTATGGAGTCAAGACAAGAGAAGTGACAATCTTCTGTGACAATCAAAGTGCTATTGTTATCTCACAAAATCTAGTGCATCATTCTCGCACTAAGCACATTGATGTCAAGCATCACTTCATCAGAGATCATGTGGAAAGGAAAGACATCAAAATTGAGTATATCTCAACTGAAGAACAACTGGCGGATATCTTCACAAAACCACTAAGTGAAGCCAAGTTTTTCGATTTGCTTCACAAAATTGGTCTAATTCAATTAGACTGAGTGTGGTACACGTGGCAGTCCACTTTCCACGTCTGTCAAAATATTGGGTAGGCACGTGAACTTGGGAACAGTTAAAAACCCAATCGCCACTAGCCGCATAAATCGCCCAAATCAAATCCAATCTCCACTATAATAAGATCCCAACTGCCCACTCAGCCCACTCAAATTTTTCATCGCCTTCTTCGCGAGAACCTTCTGACAAAATTCTCAAGAACCCTAATTTCTTCAGATCTTCTCACTCAAATTTCTGAGAAAATGAAGATTGTTGGCGCTAATGTTCATTTCCAGAAGTTGGAAGCCAAGTGCTCTTCACCATTGTTCTATCAATCCTATCTGGAGATGATTGCTGCTAACGAGCTCTCCAAATTCCTTCATATGGAGATTCGATTCAAGTATGAGAACGAAGTTCTTGAATTCTACAAGAATGGAAAGGTCAAGACTTTTAAATCGAAGAAGGACCCACATAGGACGATTCAAATCATCAAGTCCATTCTTGGAGGAACTGGAGTGAAGCTCTCTCAGAAGAAATTGGGAGAAAAGCTTCACCTTCCCAATTCTGGAGTTGAAATTGGGAGACTTCCAGCCAAGAATCTGGATTGGAATATTATTGGAATTTCTGGGCAAGTTCCTTCTGGCCCAGCGAAGAAAGCAGACGTCAAGGTCTGTACATTGGACATATTTTGGAGTCCATGGGTGCTGCTTCTGAAGGAAAGAAGTATGAAGCCAGATATTGGCTATACTACCTGTCTTCAAAAGGGGAAAATACAGCTGGTGCTAGCACAACTGCAGAGGATGAAGCTTCTTCAGACAATGTGCCAATCATAAATCTGAAGAAAACAGCCAAGAGGAAACATGTGGTGTCTCCCTCTCCAAGTGTTGAAGCACCACAGAACCTTGCTCTGGTCAATCTGGAAGAAGAAGAAGAAGTTACTGCACAAGGAGAACTTCAAAGGAAGAAAAAGAGGAAAATCACCTCTCCCTCAACTTCTGGAAATGTCAATCCGAATGAGTTGAAGGAGAAGGAACCGGTTGAGGATAACCCTGACTACAACCAGAGCCCTCAACAACAGGAAGAAGAAGTTCATCAAGTCCATAGTCTTCCAAACCCCTCAACTCAATCTCAAACAGATGATGCTGATAACCAATTCTGGCAGCTCTACTATGACTGGAGAGCTTGGAAGGTTGGAAATTCAGCAGAGCAGTTGTTGGGATGGGACCAACAATTGAAGAATGAAAAGATCATCAAGAAGTGCCTGGGACTGCCAGTCAACTACAGCTGTGAACAAATCTTGGATGATGACTGGGTATGGCAAAGGAACTATGAAGACTTGCATCTGGAATACTTGGCCACCTCACCAGTTTCAGAATTTGAAGTGGATGAGGAAGATCCTTCAGTCTACAAACCAGTCTTCTCAAAAGCCACCGAAGATCAAATGATTCACACGTCTGACGCACAGGCTGACTTGGAAGCAATTGCTGAGGATTCCCAAATATTTCCGAAAACCTCACCTGCCTTTGAACTGGTTCTGTCTGAAGCTGTCCAAGAGAATGCAGCCTCTACTCCACAAGAACAGAACCAGGAAGCATCAGAAGAAGAACTTCAGCAACATCTCCAATCTCAAGTCCTTGAGATTCTCACAACTCCTTGTGAGATCTCCAACCAGCCTGAACTTGAGATCTCGGAGAAGTCATGAGAAATTCTGGAGCAGTCAACTCCTCCAGAAACAAATGAAGTCCAAGAGGAGCAAGCTGTAGAAATCCAAAGGAATTCTACAGAAGCTGAAGAGGAAGTTCAAATGGCAGCACTGGAGGCCCCTGAAACTCCAGTAGCCATTTTTGAAGAGCAAAATGAAGGTGAAGAAAGAGACTCCCTCTCTAGGGATATATCAAATTTTATACTTGATGAAGCAGAGGAAGAATCTAAAAGGACGCTGAAGATTGCTGATAAAGAAGCTGAGCAAGAAGATGCTGAATCTCTTCCTATGCAACTTTTCCAAAGAACACCATCTTCTCATCAGGTAACCAACTTCCATTTCCATAGCTCTTCCATTCCTACACTTCCGAATGAGGAACCAAAATCTGGACAAAGAAGGTCCAAGGGTTGATTGAATCAGCCCTAGCATCTCAGCATGCCTCCTTTAGACAAGAGATAGAGCAGATGGAAGCCAGGTACAACAAGCTGATGGAGAAATCCGAAGAGACACACTGCTCCAATCTCAAGGAGATAAGCAAATCAGTGAACAAGACTCTAGAGATCATTTCTCTATTGAGTAACTCTGTGAGCGACACAATGGAGACATATGCATCTGACAGTTATCTTCAACTCAAGGAAGTTAACAAAATCAGAGAGCAAATAGAAAATGTCACAATCAGTCTGCAGAAGCAAATGTCCCTTCTCGAAATGGACATCAGAGCAGCCCTAGCAGTGTCTTCAGCAAATCAGGTAGTAACCAAAGACTACTTGAAGGTTATTATTGACAATCAGAAGGAAGCACACAGACTATTCAGACACCTTAGCACAAGCTCTGGCAACCACAAGACGGAAGTGATTCTTCAACAACACAGTCCATCCTTGATTCCAGAGCTTCCTATTGCAGTCAAGGAAGGAGAAGTCTCTTATATTCCTTCGCATCTGAACATGACTGATCTGATCCTTGAAGCTCAGAGAAATAATCCGGAGAACTCAGCACAACATTTATCTAGCTCAGGACTGGATGGAACAGAGGCTGTTGGAACCATTGTCTCACATTTCTCAAATGAGGACCACACAAAGGAGAGATACAACAACATAAGGCGCATTAAAGAACTATGTGGAAACATGCAAGGCATTAGTGAGCTTGCCGGATCTTCAAAGCGCAAAAAGCACTGAAGGCTTTTTTCATCAAACCAGGGGGAAAGTATGTGAAAACACTAATTTGCTTTGATGAAAACACCTTCTTGTTTAAACATTGCTTCAATCTTAATTGTGCTTAGTATGCTTGATTATGCTTATTTCAAGTATGATTTTGAGATTTATTCCTGAGCGCATACATTCAGGGGGAATATAATTCAGGGGAACTTAACTGTTTTTTTGGCTAACAATTGCTTCAATTGTTTTTGGCAATGAACTATTGATAAAATCTAAGCAATGGAAACCGGATACCTCAGTATAAGTACTATAGTTGGAGATCTCCGATTCAGGTACTTTACATAATCTACCTTCCTAAACTGAGCTTTAATCTTTAGTTCATTTCCAACTAGCTCTAAAAGTACTTGTCCTTAGGATTTTTTTTGTATAGGACTTTGGAAAAATAGTACCACTTTTTATTTTAAAAATGAATTACAATTTTTTTGGTACTACCTCGTCCTATTTAGAAATTAGAACTATAGGGAATGAAAAATGATAGTTTTATTTTGGGCCTTGAGAACCCAATAGGAATAATTTCCCTTTAGTGCATAGATTTTTTTTGGGCCACTCTTTTGGGCTTAGCCAAACTAAAACAGTTACATTTTTCAAACCAAACGAAACTGATTTTTAATTGGAACAGTTTCAACACCTTGGTAACTGGTAAAAGATTCCTTTCACTTTTCAACTTTTTGGAAGTTGAAACTCTTTTACTCTCACCGTTCCATCTACCCAATTAGTGGAACCCGTGAACCTCCCCTCTCTCTACCTCCTCTCTTATTTAAATCAAGACATCCCAATCCATTCCTATCACAAACAACTCTTTCAATATGAAAAGTCTTCAAACTCACTGTCTGAGAAAAATATCCTCAATGGAGAAATTTTTCTTTCTCACCCTCATAGACAGCAATGGAGGAAGCCTAATGAGAAGAAAAGACTTCCAAGGTCTATGGTAAGAATCTCGGCAGTAGAGAAGGTCTGTGGTGAAAATCTCGTATTTTTCAGGATTACACCATACACCTTCTCTGGAACAACACTCTCTCCATTTTCGTCTCATCTAATTTTTTTTTTATTTTATTCTCTCTCTTTTTCTCTTTTTTGTTCTTCAAATTTTAATTTTTGAGCAGTCACCGCACTCTTCTTACAAGCATTTTTCAAAATTTTTGTGCAGTCTCTGCTCCCTTCTCCCAAGCATTTTTCAAAAAATTTTTTTTACCATATTTATCCTTTAAAATCTTTTTCAAAATTTTATTTTTGCCTTCATCTTTAAAAACCCTTATTTTATCTTCTTTAAAATCAATTCTATTTTCCAAAACCTTTTTCTTGTCTTTCTGATCTTTTTCTTTTTCCTCCACCGCCGCCTCCTTTCCCTCCACTTTCTTTTTGTTCTTGTTTTTGCTTTTTGGAGAGATGTTGCTTCCTAGATCTAAAATATCCACTTTGGATATTAAAGATCTATCAAACGCACCGCCATCTGTACTACCAAGCAAAATCTGTTGGAAGTGAAAGCGGCAAATGGTAGAAAATATCACAAATCTCAAGACAAGACTTGGTTTAGGAATTATTGTAATTTGAATTGTATTTTTTTAAGAGTTTTTGTTAACAAGCTGTATATTATGAGAAACTAAAAGAAAGTTATAAAATTAGTTCTCAGTATAGCGACCGGAACTCTTAAACACTTGTTTGTCATCATCAAAAAGGGGGAAATTGTTGGGAAAATATTATAGATTTTGATGATGATGTATTTAGATTGTAATAGGGACTTTAGGTCTCCCCCAATATTCAATGTAATTTTTCTTTTTAGAAATACTGTCAAAACCGAGTTCTTGAGATTTCCAATAAAGTTGTGATATTTCTTTAAGTGGTTTGATGCTTGAAGACTCAATCAAATTCAGTGATTTGGAAATTGGATATCTTGATCGGAAATGTCAGAGACAAGTAAGGATTTCTCAAAGCAGATGAAAATCCTCTGATCCGGAAGACTACATGATAACCGGATGTCTCGCTACAACCCGCTGAAGGCTAAGTCATCCAAAAACGGAAGACTAGCGCAGATCTCTTTCTCACCCGGAAGTCTGTGAATGACTCTTCTGGATTTGTCAGCAAAGAACCGGATGCCTCAGAAAGACCGGAATTCTCAGAAGCGGACAAGTGAGAAAAGACTTAGAAAATTATCTAAGTCTTGAATGAAGAAATTCTACCCGTTGGTAAGGAAAAATCAATCTCTTGATTTTCAACGGCTAGATTGAAGATAATTATGCTGATTTAAGAACAAATGACTTGAAGACAAAGACTGAACCTCTCAAATTGAAGAGCCTGTCCAGAATTCCTAAACAAGCACTAGAAGACAAATTGAGTAAAGTGCTACAGTCCAGAATTCTTGAACAACAGCTAGAAGACGGATTCTGTGGAAAAAGGAATCCCTCCTCAAACAATTGGGTATGTCCAAACACCCATTCCAACGAGGAATCTTCAAATCACAATCTTCATTCAAAAATTGAAGCCAGCAAATGCAACGGATAGTCTATTTTGACTCAACGGATAGATTATCCAATCCAGCTATAAATAGCATCCTTGGAAGACTGGAGAAGATACAACCCATGAGATAGAAAACCACAACGAAGCAATCTCTAACAACAAAGCTATCTCATTCACAGTTAGCCTAAAAGCTTGATAAAGAGAGATTTCTAAACTCCTTATCTAGAAGCAAACTTCTCCTCCTTCCAAAAAGCTATAGTGTAAACACTTGAAGGTTTCCTTGCCTCAAGTACCACACCACGTTGAAGGATATAACTTTTGATCAAACTTCTTGATTAAAAGGAGGTAGATCAACTTTCTTACAAGTTGATCTTGCAAGTCCTATTGTTCGGATCTTGCAGTTGTTGAAGAAGCATGACCTTCGAAGGAACAACAAAGCCAGCACGAGTACAGTAGCAACTTTGGCCTTGCGAAGATATACCGTGCAGAAATTCACACAAGTGTAATTGTTGGTTCTTTATTCAACAACCAACTACATAGTGGATTTTGAGGACGTAGAAGGATTACCCCACCTTCGAACCTCGTTAAAGTTTGCGTGTCTCTCTCTTTTATCTTTACTCTTACTTGCAATTATATTAACTGTGAAAACTAACCCATCCATATTGATTACTGCTCATACTACCCACCAAATTCCGCACACAATGTAAAGTTCCCAAGAACTCTAGATTTACATTATTTTCACGTTTTCAAAAGAAACGAAAAAGTTTTAAAATTGTAACAAAGTCTATTCACCCCCCTCTAGACTTTGTATCTCACCACTTTGGGACCACCAGTGCATTTTATCACTCTTTTATCACTCTTTTATCTTTGCTTGAACGTTTACTAACTTGAGTGTCAGAGGGTTTTCTAACTCTTTTTTGTAGGGACGGTTCGAAGTGAAGAATTCTGGAAATCAGGGGGAACTAGCGATGGGTTGGTTATACCATCGCTCGGAGGGAAGTTTCATTTTTTTCCAGAACCCCTCTTCCCATCGGTGGGTACTTTCTCCCATCAATGGGTGATTGACTCTATTTTTTAAAAACCTTTTAACGGATTTCCAGAAACTCCTTTCCCATCGATGGGTATTTTCTCCCATGACTGGGTGGATGACTTGTGTTTTAAAAATTTTTCCCAGAACCTCCCCACCCATCGATGGGGACTTCTTCCCATCGCTGGGTATTTGACACTATTTTTTAAAAAGTTTTTAACGGATTTCCAGACGCCACCTTCCCATCGATGGGAGAATCCTAACATCGCTGGGAAGGCAGCCTTAATTTTCTCCTTGGTTTCCAATGGCGACCTTCCCATCGATGGGATGCTCTACCCATCGCTGGGAAGCCTGTTGCGATTCAAAAATTTTTGACTGTTGGGCACCAAATTTAATGCCCAACAGTCATATTTTTGAACTAAATCCGTTTTCTCCTCCCCTCCTATAAATATACTTCATGTTTTGTCATTCCTCTTCACAAATCTTCATCCAAATTTCATACTTCTAAGCCAAATCCATTCTTTTTCTTCAAAAACGCCACAACTATGGTCGGAGGAAGATCAAAGTCAAAGGCATCCAAGAAGAAAGGCCCTACCAAAGCCACAACGTCAGCGCCTCCACCGTTCCTGTACCTTGAGGGATCCTTCTTGGAGTTTGGCTCGGAGGAAGAACTAGCCCGCTTCCTCACTCACTTCGCCAAACACCCGATTTGTCTGCCTTGCGTGCTCCCGGAACTGTTTCCCCAACAGAAAGGGTACCACGACCTCGACAATCAACTCAAAGAGTCGGGTCTGTGGCCCTTCTTCTCCAAGAGCCGCACCTCCTACAATCCCGCATATGTCCGGGCCTTCTACTCAAATCTCTGACGGGACGGGGACACCATCCACAGTAGCATCAATCTATACGACATAGAGATTGATTTGCCTACCTTTGCTTGGGTCGCAGGGCTGCCCATCCGCGGCGATGACATCGCGACGTACGGTGGCGACGATTGGATCCTCAATAATGAGGCGGTCGTCATTCGCGAGCTTGGGATCACCAACTTGATCCGTCACAGCGGCGCGCCGACGATCCACTCGGTCCCACCGGAGAAGCGCCTCCTACTCTACATCCTCACCCAGATCCTCCGCCCCCGGGATGGCAGCCACACCTCGCTCTTCAACGAGGACTTGAAGGCGATTCACGCCATCATGCACGGCGCCTCCATCAATTGGACGAAATTTGTCATGCTTCACATGATGGATTGCGCTTCCATCATCAACGAGCAGAGCTTGTCGTACGCCTTCCTCGTCATGGACCTCGTCATCTCTGCCGACATCCACATTGCCGGGCCAAGCACGAAGATGACAAAGCTTTGGATCATTGCCGAAAACACCTTCAAGAAAAAGTCTGGAACCCGAGACGGCGCCAGATCGAGTTGTGCCCGTGCCCCTGCCCCTTCCCCCACTCCCGCTCGGGCCTCGTTACAGTCCATAGCCGACACCCTAAATCGGCTAACCCTCACGGTGGACGGAATGGGTCAGTACATGGAGAGGATGGACTGGACGCTGCAACGCCAACACCACGACATGAGGGCGTTCTTCCGCGGCATCAACTACGTCCCGCCGCCTTTCGACAGCACCATCCTCGGTCAAAACTTTGAAGGCGAGGATGAGGACGACGACTCCTATGCTCCGTCCTCCTCCCCCGATGAGGCTGACTTTGAGGACGCGGTGAACGACGATCCCATGGACGTCGAGGACGACGAGGATGACGAAGCCGACTCCTAGACTCTTTTTATTCCTCTTCCAATATGATTGTTCTTCTTTTAATTTTCATTCCGTTGTATTTTGCATTTCCCTTTTGTTTTAATGAATAAAAGTTTACTTTTAATTCTAAAGTTTAATTTTAATTCTTTTTGTTAATGTCAAAAGGGGGAAGTTACAAAGGTTATGCATAAATTAAGGGGGAATATTTTTCTCATCACAAATACTTTGTTGAAAATAAAATTGCATTTATTAAGGGGGAACATTTTTTTAAGTCTCAAAATAATCCTCCTATGCATAACCTCGCCTTGTTTGCCATTATCAAAAAGGGGGAAATTGTTGAAACACGGGCTTGTCACGTTTTCGTACTAAAGCCGTGTTCGTTTTTATGACAGGTTTTGATAATGCCAAACCGCCGTGATCAAGTAGAACATTGAACATACGAGGCGAGGAACGAAGATGAGAACAAGAGCTAAAAGAAGACCAAGAACGAAGACCGTAGTCTTAGTGTCATTGAGTCGGTCTTTATTGTGATCAAGATCGACACAATCTTTACACCTTAGCTCTTTAGGCTAAATTCTTTTCATTGCATCTCTTACATCATAAAAATGTTTTTCAAACATGTTTAAATCATTAAAAATACTTGGTGTTCGCCTAAACCAAAAACCAAGCCATCCGGCGTTCGGCTTTCAGAAACCAGCGTTCGGCATTCGGTTATCAGCGTTGGTTTTTGGTGTCCAAACCAACCAAGTGGTTTTCAACATTTTATGATTGGCTTTCACTCTTTGGCATGTTTAAACAGTTCTCCAACAAAAACACCTTGAAAACCACCTTTCGTTTTTGGTCGTTTGGCAAAAACCACGCAAAACGGCGTAAACTTGGCTAGCCGTGGTTTTTACTCAAATTACGTGGATTTTAAAGTGTCTCACTTGATTTCTTAGCTAAATACATCAAATAAGTGTTTTGAACACTTGATTTTTATTTTTGAGAACTTTGGATTTTTCGATCGGTTTTTGCATCGGTTGGCTAGGCCGTGGTTAAGGCAAAAACCATGGGTTTTTGGCTAACCACCCACCCAGCGATGGGAAGAACTTCCCATCGATGGGTAAGCGGTCCCCTAGCCAAACCAACTTCCAGAACCATGCCAAACAGCGATGGGAAGTTCTACCCATCACTGTTAAAGCCTTGGTCCAACATCAACACAAGGCAGAACGACCTTACCCAGCAATGGGGAACTTATCCCATTGATGGGAACCCAGCGATGGTAAGGCTAAACAATCAATGGGAAGGCATGACCGTTGGAAGTCATTTAAAGTTGATTCTTTCCTTGTTTGGAAGTCAACCTCCCACCCAGCAATGGGAAGCTTGTACCCATCAATGGGTAGGTGACCGTTGGCTTCAAAACTGAAGGAAAATTGGCTTACCAGCGATGGGTGAGTCCAAACATTGATGGGAAGCCAATATCATGCAGATCCCAAATTTATTCAATCTCATAAATCAAGCCAATCACCCCTTTAATGTATTGGTCCGTTGGAGCCTATTTTGGCACTATAAAAAGGGGTGATTGGGTCTGCTTTTCTTATCAATTAATTTCACAATTCTCCTACTTTCATTGCATTCAAAAAACATTCTTTTCCATAGCTTTTTACAGCCAATTCGTGTGAAGTTTGAGTTGTTCTTGAGCGTATTCAGTTTATTCAATATCTACTCCAAAAGTGAGTCTTGTTCTTGAATGCATTTGTGTTCTAAGACACGTTGAACGAAAGTATTTCTCTCATTTGATTCGAAGGAAGGGCTGTTTCCTTCGAAGGATTCGTTGAGGTTCGTGTGACTCAAACTCTAAAGTTGTAAAGGTTTGTTAAGCACCGTTAAGCTTAACGAGATAGTAGTGTAGCTCGAGAGAGTCTCTCGGGAGGCTGGATTAGCCACAATTTGTGGTGAACTAGGGTAAATTCGGTGTGCCTCTTACTCTTCTCTTTACATCTCTTTTAATTTTTTAATTCCTGTGATTTCTACTATCAAATGCTATTCACCCCCCCTCTAGCGTTGGTCTATTATTCTAACACAAACATAAATTAAAATAACATTTTATTAAATAAAGTAAACTTACAACTTCCGTACAAGCGGATTTGAACAGAACGAGAGTAGAATTTCTCCAAAAAAATTATTCTAAAACTACTAGAATGCTAAACTAATATTTGGAACTAAAATATAAAGCTCAATTCCCGAGAATGGGAGAGATGGTGATGGTTGTAATGAGGTGAATCACGCTGTATTTATAGGACAGAGACCAAGGCGTCCAAGTCGAAGCGTCCAAGTCCAGATGTCCAGATCTGGACGCCTGAGCTGTCCTGGCCAACCAGATTTTGCCACGTGTCATTCTTGGGCTGCAATTAAGCCAAAGCGTCCAACATCCAAGCGTCCAACTTGGCCAAGCGTCAAAGTTGGACGCCTTGAGGCCTTGGTCCATTGGGCTTCGCGGTTGTTTTGTGATTTTGGCCCAATTTCGCTCCGTTTTGGTCCCGAACACTGTTCTTGACCTCCCGGAGGCTCGTTCAAGCCCGAATCTTGATCCCTTGATGATTTATTCCCTTTTTCTCAAGTGTTTGAACATAAAATGGATGATTTATGATAATTTCTTGTGGAATCCCTTTTTATGACTCTTAGAACGAAAATGAGAGTTTTATTCATTGAAATCACATTTTATAAGATGATTAAATACTATTTACGTGCAATAACGTTTAGAATATGATATAAATGATAAGAACGAAACAGACTTATCAAATTCCTTACACTTAAACGTTGCTTGCCCTCAAGCAACAAATTAAATAATTACAAGTATAAAGGCAAATTAATAATTGCAGAGGAAAGGTTTAAGCTACATATTATGAAGGAAAGAAGAAATAAGATAGTCATCAACCTTTTTGTTTAGAAAAAATGAACCTTTAGATTCTCACCCATATTGTTAGAAATGTAAAAGAATTTTTGTCAAACCAATATTTTTACACCAACCTAAACAATCAAAATTTTCCAAATTTTCTTTGGGATAACTACATTTGTAAGAGTACTTTACAGATCAAATAATTTAAATGGTTAAATTGAAAAACATGTTCTTGCAACAGTTTTAGTCAAAGTATAAAGGTTTAATTTCCTTTGGCATAACCTTGTTATGTTGACACGAGAAAAATTATAACCTCATCCCGTGACATAGAACCACGAGCTTTTAGGATATTCACTCTGGAAAGTCTTATCACACGACATAGAACCGTATGCTTTTTGACTAACACTTAAAAGGCCTCATCACGCAATATAGAACCACGTGCTTTTCGGCATACTCACCACGCCTCATCAGCTGACCTAGAACCAACTGCTTTTTGGCTAAAACAAGAATCTCGGTCTCACCAAAGTATGCTTTGAAACATCACACCTTAAACTTTGAAAATAACTCTTTTCAAGAAACAACAGATACTCCTAAAAGCATCAGCAAAAAGATTTTCAATAAAGCACTTAAAAATTGATTGATCTTAAAAACTCTTAGTAAATTGTGAATTTATCCCAAATCATTTTAGAAAGCATTCCCAAAAGGTTAGAGTAAAAATAAAAATTCGACAAAAAGTTTTAAAAATTCCCAATTTTACAGGTGATAACTAAAGATATAATTAATCAAACAATTAAAATTGATGACTATTCTATAAAAATCTTTTCCTACAAATACATAGACAAAACAATTACTAAAAAGATTATTTCAACCAAAAACTCTTGCCTCCTCACACTTAAACGGAACCACGCCCTTGTGGTTAAGAGTGTTTTTGAATCGGAGTTAATGGTTGAAATGCTCACATGCAATTGCTAAGTTATCTAAATACTAACAAAATTCAAAGATGAAGATTGAAATAATAGATAACCATAACATGCAAATATGAAATGATGCATAAAATATTCTAAAAGTGGTTTTAAGAGTTATAAAAGAAGAATTCCAAAATAAAATCATATAAATATCCAAAAATAATGTTCTGAATTAGGGAAATTAGGGATCTCACTATCCCTGACGTTTGCCTTGCTAAGGACCCGCCTCATGCTCCGTTTTCTTTGCTCTTTATTCCCGGAAGTAGTCCAGTATTTCCTCCACCTGCCACTGCTGCGTGAAATGGAGTGTCTCCATGCTCCTCAAACGAGAATCCATAGAATCCTGGAATGCAAACATAGCCTGCGAAAGCTCACGAAGAGTCATAGGAATTGTATGCTGCCGTCTAGGACGTGCCTCCTTGTCTTCCTTATTGTAAGCAATCTGGGCCAAATACCCTGTCCGTGGTCGGAACATGCTTGGAGTTTCTAGGAGAACATCGGGAACTGACATATGTAATCCACGGGCCAAGAGCGTAACCATTGGCCCACACAAAACAAACTGGCGGTTGCAAGTAGATTGAGGAAACAAGAATCGAGCCACAAAGGTTGCTAAATTAACTGGTACTCATGCTTCCAGACTCCAGAAAAATAGCATATCGGACTCAAACACCACGTCAGGTTCTTGAGAGCGGCCGAAATAGCTATGAGCCAATGCATGGTGCAAAATCCTCCAAGACGGTCGTGCCCAATTCCTAGCTAAGCTTGCTCCACTGTGAAATCGACCATGCCCGTGAGCTTTCCAAAACTTCTTAACATCGAATTCTGGATCCAACTGGTCAGGCAGGTCCGCAAAAGCCAGGCTCCTTGTTTCATCGAGCGTGTAAAGACCAATCAACCACCCTAAGTGTGCCACAGTTAGGTTCAGCAGTCGACCCATCAGCGTAAACGTGACCTTTGTGGTAGAGATGACTTCAGCCGCTGACTACGCCTCCTCTCCGTCATTGAAGAAGCAGAGGGAATAAAGAAACTCGATGATGGCTTCCAAGCTAGCTGGTGCATGCAAGAACAGCGAGATTCTCCATTTTGGGTCGTACATCAACTCATCAATGTCCTGCCAGTGCCCTAGTTCATCCAGATAGGCAGGATCTAGCACCATGGGGGGCTGGAGCATCTTCGTGTTTCCCCAAGTGAGAAACTTCTTCTTCGCT